AAACAATGATATTTAGTCTTTAACAACCTTTTCATTGATTCTGCAGTATCAAATTTAAGCGTAAAATGTTTGATTGATTTTTTTTGTTGATTATTCCAAAGTATCTACATATTTAAAACTATATCTAGATCCGTTTTTTGATAATCAAATACCTTAGCTTTAAGACAGAAAAAGTATGTTATTTCTATTTTGTGATAACAATATTAATAATTCACAATCACCTCATAATGATTGAATCTGGTGCTGTCTTGTCCCAGGCTGAATGTCCCAGTTTGTCTGTACCGTAATTCGCCAAACATTTACGTGAAAATTTAAACATTAAAAAAAAATGTACACGTAAAACCAATTAGATTTAATAAATACATTTTTGTTAATCATCTATGTCCCTTCATGTTGATAGAAAGAAATGTGGGACGCTGACAAAAATAAACCTAAATATGAAAAGCAAATGGAACTATCGGAAACACAGAGATCGGTTTGGTATTATTTCTTGAAAGCGATGGATAATCTCTCGTCTAAATGCATTAGTAAGTAACAGTCAGAGGAAGATATCTAGCAATTGCGTATGATAGTATAAGTTCTATTTCCTAGAAAGGTTTGTACTCTGATCGGGTGTTCTCGTCATCAGGTTACTTTTGTTACCATTTTCGCGCAAAATTAAATGATCAAACATAAGACACGTAATTTTTATGATCTCATTTTTTTGAAATAGACCAAAGATTAAAATTTCAAAAATTATTTTAACATTTGATAATGTCTGACGCTAGACATTTGTGTTATTGTTAAATGCTTATTAAAAATCAAATTGCTATTTTTTCAAATGTTTTTATTTCATTAATAAATCATCATCTCCAATCTCTACACAAAGTTCTCTTTTTATTGACAATATAGAAAATGTCGAAAATATCAGGATTCTGGCATTCGTAAACTTCTATATCGAAAATACTGTTTTTTTTTTTGGTAAAAGGGACCGGTTTAGCCACCCCTACAACCAATGCATTCAATGTGAATGTGACAGTATGTTCATGCATAGAGCGAAAAGTGATACTTATGCATCAAACGGGAAGGAATAATAACCCTACCAATATATAATCCATAACCTATTACACATAACAAAAAAGAGGGTGGGATGTTCGCCCTGATTGAACTGATCTTTTGTATCTGTGATTAAGAGGCGGGCATATTCACCCTGATTAAACTGATCTTTTGTATCTGTGATGAAGAGGGTGGGCAGTATCCTCCAGATTTAATTTTAGTTTTAGAAAGCATTTTGTTTGAATCAATTATTTTACATTGCTTTCTTGAGTCTATTGTATCGGTACATTACGATAAGGGGTCACTTTGCTTCTAGACTGATGTGGTGGAGACTTGGAACTGCTTGAAACATATGTGCTAGATATACTGAGCTAAATAATTCAGTGCAGGTAGCTATCTGGTTAAATAACTCAGTGCGGTTAGCTATATTTTGATGGGCCTGGCTAATAACGTTCTGGAACCAGCTCCCCTTCCATATACGTCATAGTGAAACCTCGTCCATTTTCAAAAAGTCCCTTAAAACTCATCTGTTTAGGTCCGCCTATGACCTGTGATGCACCCTCCTTGCCCTACCTCATTTTCTGTTTCGAGTTTCTATAGTATAGTAGTTACTATCCTAGTGTCTCATTTGTATTTACTTAGTTTACATGTTTTAATAATTGTAAAGCGCTTAGAGCTTTATGATAAGCGCTATATAAAAATGCCTAAATAAATAAATAACGACAATTTTTGACCATCGGTGACTTGCAAATTTAAAAAAGAAGAAGAAAAATGCATTCAAAGAGATTTTCCCGTGCGGGATCCCAGATATACGGTGTATGTGCGGGATCCCAGAATGGGGGTATACGTGCGGGATACCGGAATGATGGTATCACAGGATACTGCTCGAGAAACCCCATAAACTTAATACGAATAGTGTGTTTTGTTAAACTACAATATAATCTAGTGTTAGGAGCCGTTAGATATTTTTCACAAAATTAACCTGTTTTAAGATTCTCCTCGTTAGATGAACAGTGTCTAACAAAGGACTGACAACCACCATGCATCTGTCTCAAACAACTAAATCAGTTACTCATCATCATTTGAAAGGAGACAAATACGTTTATCAACGTTGTTTACTATGGTTCTTCATCAGTCATTGTAAATAAGTATTTACCATATCTAAATGTGGACATTTTGTCATGAAATGCACTGAATACACTTCTAGTAATTGAATCTGAAGACCCACTAAGTGTCAAGCTAAAACTTTGCACACATCATTTTGAGATAAATTAGAAAACAAATGTTAAACACATAAATTCGTTTTCTGTTTAGGACGATTCAGTTTATTTTTGTTTATTTTTCAAAATTAAAATCAATTTGGAAAATTTATTCTGTATCTCGGATGTTAAATTCTTTGAATCAGCGTTCAGAAAAAAATTAATTATAGTACGATTATTCGAATCATTTTTTCCCAAACAATTTCGAAGTGCTCAGTAAGTCATCAGCTTTGGGGATCAATGTTTCCATGCTTCCACCCTGGTCGAGAATCCTAGAGGTCAGCTGGTCAGCAATAGCAGAGGTTAAAGCTTCCTTCAGCATGTCAGGGCTGTCATTTACGTCAACTATGTCAGGTTTATCATTTATGTCAAGAAGGTCTGAGGCCAGCTTTTCAGAAACAGCTGATTTTACAGCATCTTCAAGTATTTCATTGTTGTTATTTACGTCAAATATGTTAGAGGATATCTTGTCGGCTACATCAGCATTGACATCTTTCAGTATGCCGACAGACGACCCGACCGAGGCGGTATTCCCCCCGAAAACTTGGTCAGCTATTTTGGATGCAACGGACTCCACAAGTGCATCGCCAGTGATGACAGAGTCCAGGGCATCGCCACTGATGTCAGAGACAAGTTTATTTTTCTCAACACCACTTTGAAGGACGTTACTCAAAATTCCCGACGCTGTATGATCTTGAATTTTGCCCAACAGAGCGTCGGCCACGTCATCAGCTACTTTGTCCAACATTACAGAGTTAGGCGAGGAACCTGATAGTAAACAAGCGAAAATCAAAATAGACGAATGGAGATATGAAAAATTTCAGTTTGTCTAAATTTTGTTCATGATAACCATTGGTTTATGATAAAATCGCAACACTACAAAGGTAGTATGCCCGCAATAAACTGTGAAAAAAATGAATTTTAAACGCATGCAACTTAACTTTCTACAAAAATCAAAATAACGGTGACGTAAAAACGTATTAAATTATAAATTTGCAGATTATTTAAAAAATGAGTTTACTAACGTTGTACACTTTGATGCAGATATATGATTTTAACCTTTGCTAATACATGTTGTGAAAGTACTCAATGTATTTCAAATGTCCGCTCATTATTGCAACAATAATGGTTTATGAATGAAATTAAGAAAATAAATATATTCGTTTTTTGTTATGGAAAAATTTCTTTAAAACACCCTCGCAAAAGGTATTATTAATTTAAAAGTAACAAATCACTTCTTTCAATGAGTTAAGTTGACTTAAGGAGCCAGTAACAAATCAACTCTTTCGATGAGTTAAGTTGACTTAAGGAGCCAGTAACAAATCAACTCTTTCGATGAGTTAAGTTGACTTAAGGAGCCAGTAACAAATCAACTCTTTCGATGAGTTAAGTTGACTTAAGGAGCCAGTAACAAATCACTTCTTTCGATGAGTTAACTTGACTAAGGAGCCAGTAACAAATCACTTCTTTCAATGAGTTAACTTGACTTAAGGAGCCAGTAACAAATCACTTCTTTCGATGAGTTAAGTTGACTTAAGGAGCCAGTAACAAATCACTTCTTTCAATGAGTTAAGTTGACTTAAGGAGCCAGTAACAAATCAACTCTTTCGATGAGTTAAGTTGACTTAAGGAGCCAGTAACAAATCACTTCTTTCGATGAGTTAACTTGACTAAGGAGCCAGTAACAAATCACTTCTTTCAATGAGTTAACTTGACTTAAGGAGCCAGTAACAAATCACTTCTTTCGATGAGTTAAGTTGACTTAAGGAGCCAGTAACAAATCACTTCTTTCGATGAGTTAAGTTGACTTAAGGAGCCAGTAACAAATCACTTCTTTCGATGAGTTAAGTTGACTTAAGGAGCCATTAACAAATCACTTCTTTCGATGAGTTCAGTTTATTTAAGGAGCCATTAACAAATCAATTCTTTCAATGAGTTAAGTTTACTTAAGGAGCCAGTAACAAATCAACTCTTTCAATGAGTTAAGTTTGGTTAAGAAGCCAGTAACAATTAGCCAATTCTTTCAACGAGTTAAGTTTAGTTAAGGAGCAAGCAGACGATGTTTCGACTAGATGCCGTCTTCAGTAGAAACAACAAAGATTAACATATTTAAATTAAAGACTTATTTTGTCGTAGGCTGTCATAAAACACGGAAATTAAGTTTTGTAAAAACCAAAACATGAGTTTTACCAACGAGAATACAGGAAGTAAGATAATTTAAGTATAGTTAAAGGGAAATTTTAGAATTTCAGACAAAAATTCAAAATGGAACACCCCCAAATTGGAGAGAAATTGAGAATGACTGGTCAGAGAGTATTTGATTGATTCCATGTGGTGTACTATCTAAACAACTGTTTTCATGCTTCCCTCTCCCTGGTTTGATTAGCGTCAGATCAGTGCCGTGATGAATACATCTTATGTGACCTTGTGTTCACCTCTATTTTAAAGGGATGAGACCGGGGCTGGCTTGTTTTCCTAATCTTACGAAGATTTTCCCTGAACCGATATGATTGTGTTGGTCCTGTCTTTTAATTAAAATGTTAAAATATCTTGTTCTACTATTTCCTTTACACAGCGGGAACGCAGTCCCTCATATATTTTTTCTTAAATTTGTTAAGTAAAACATGTTAAAAGTAAAGCTGCATTTTAATACTAATATAGTTATTTCAACTTAAATGGATAGTTGAATCCTGTGGCCTTTAACTTACCTCCGGTTAAAGTTTCCAGAATGGAATCAGTACTCGACGGCTTTAAGATTCCGCTAACAATGCTGGACAGTGATCCTACCACAGGGACGGCAACTTTGTCCAGGAGGCCATTCTTTATACCATCCACTAGTTCTTCGGGGATCGCGGAGGAAGAAGTATCCACTATCTTTCCCAATCCACCAAGGGTTCCGTCCTCACTTCCGGTCAAATCACCAACCAGTTTATCAACAGCTAGAAGGTTACCAGCATCCTTCAACGCGTCTGTTATTTCCCCCAGACCCCCATTGACAAGTCCACCGACAATGTTGACTCCGTCTTCCAAAGGAGCCAGTTTGACGTCAACTTTGTTGTCTTTATCAATGCAGACGTCAAAACTTGAGCGTTTATTTCTTGGGGCTGTTTTGTTAGAAAAATAAACCCGCAAAATTGAGGCTTCAATTTAATTAGAATTAAAATAAACGTTATGAAACTAGTAAGCAAAAACAGCTGGCACACAAACATATCATACAAACAGCTGACATACAAACATATGCAAACACATATCAAGCGTAAAAAGCTGTCCATGAAATACTCATTTCATGAATTGTCCAATGATGTGACAAGCTTCAACAAATTTTACGTACAAACACGAAAGCTATTCATAACAATTATATAAGAAATTATATTTGTATTGCTACTTAAAACAGGGTTAGGTCACTTAGGGCTACTGGACATCGTTTCAGGTCAGTAACTACAACTAGACACAGCGTCAGGTTATTAAGTGCTACGAGACACTGTGTGAGGTCACTTAGGGCCATTAGACATTGTTTAAGGTCAGTTAGTGCTACTAGACACTGTTTAAGGTCAGTTCGTATCTTTATCTCCAATTTCTACAGCGACATTCACATTTACCTTCCAGATACTTGAAATCACATTGTGACTCACAGTAGTTCTCACATTGTTCTACACCCTGCTTAGGCACACAAAGCCAACACCAAGGGCAGAGGTCCTCACATTTCTCATTGGCGAAGACGCTTATTAAATGAGTGTTTAAAAAAACAACAACCTTACAACAGGTTTCTATGAAGCAACGTCACAAGTAATGTTTGACAAATAACTTCAATCTGTTACCTTAAGTAATCTCATACTTATTCAATATTATCTTTCCCGCTTTGAAAAAAGACATGAGTACAATTATCTTAAAAGCTACAGCTGTTGGGGGAAAACTGATTCCGGTATGGAAACGACGGGGAGGAGGGGGTCGGGAGGGGGTATTGGCGGATTGATCTAGAAACAACTCTAACATTTGATTGAGGCACCAACAATATAATGTTGTGATGGTTAGTGTCATGGAGCAAGGTTAATCTAAACTAATTTGAAATTTAAAACATACGTTGGGGTTAAGGGATTATGTCTTAGAGAAAAGTAAGACACGAAAAGAGTTGTTTCAAATCTGCCTCATTAAAACTAATAAGTCGTCAAGCTGTAAAAGGCCTGCCTCATTAAAACTAACAAGTCGTCAAGCTGTAAAAGGCCTGCCTCATTAAAACTAATAAGTCGTCAAGCTGTAAAAGGCCTGCCTCATTAAAACTAATAAGTCGTCAAGCTGTAAAAGGCCTGCCTCATTAAAACTAATAAGTCGTCAAGCTGTAAAAGGCCTGCCTCATTAAAACTAATAAGTCGTCAAGCTGTAAAAGGCCTCTTAATTTAATGTGAAAAAACAATTAAATTTAAAATCATGCGAATTCTTATTCGTCTTTTTAAGTGTAATTTTAAAATCTAAACTAATTATTTTGTGCATTAGACACATACAACATGACACATAGAACATGACACATAGAACATGACACAAAAATGACGCATAGAACATGACACTTAGAACATGACACATAGAGCATGCCACATAGAACATGACACACAGAACATGAAAAATACAACATGACTCATGGAACTTGATATAATATAGCATATTTAGTGCCAATCAAATCAAAATTTTGCAAGCCAAGCAAAATTTTTAAAAGTTAAATTTTAGGAAAGCTGTCAAGTTTTATTGTTACCCAAGTTATTTCTATGAAGATTTAGGTGATTTAAATTCCCGAAATCCATTACCTTGTCAGCCTGGCAGTCTCAACACCTAGATGTGGTGTGATGTGTTGACAATGGTCCTCTTCTCGTTCTATCGCCTCTCTTACTGCCTCCTCTATGACACTTTTGATGTGTCCAGGCATGTCGCCAGCCACGATGCCACAGCCTAGAGCCATCACGCAAACTAACGCTGACATACGGAAACTGGACATCTGTTCAATAAATACAGTTTAGATAGTCTGAACATTATTATAATTTGATATAAATTACTCAAATCACATGTCTGCTTTATGAAGGCAGGTGTTTAGTAACTTTTTTCTTTTAAGAAGGCAGGTCTTCAGTTACTGGATAACATCATTTTCAAACACAACGACTTCATTACATTTACTATGCATCAACTACCAGATTGTGACATGATAAACCATCAACTACCAGATTGTGACATGATAAATCAGCAAATACCAGTTTGTAACTTGATTAATAATCAAGAAACACAATGGGACTTGATTTACTATAAAATACCTGATAATTACCAAAATACCCATCAAATAACACATCACCTATTGACACCCTTAAATACCAGATTGTGCCCCAAATAACAATCAAATACCAGTTTTTGACTTACATAACCAAAAAAAAAACCACATCATGATCTGATTAATCATAATAATATTCTGGAGGCGGCAAAATATTTAAAAAAGCCAAAGGATTAAATGAGTGCAAAGTCTGGATCAAGCCGACGCCATCTTTACAAAGTATGAGCTTCATAATGACATGGGACAGAAAGCAATGAAGAGAAACGAATGCCTAAGAAAATATTATATTAGAAAAGAAAGAGTTATTGCATTAATTTAATTCCTAGTTCAACAAATAATTAAGTCTTCCTTACCTTAATGGGGTCACAGACTGTAAAGGTGAATGGGCGTCTAAGATCTTAAATGGACTCTGAGATCTTAAATGGACGTCTGAGATCTTAAATGGACGTCTGAGATCTTGAATGGACGTCTGAGATCTTGACCCTGTTTTATGTTCGTGTCTGCCTGACCAGAACGTGCATTCAACAGTCCACACAAAGCTGTCTAACATCTTGGATATGCCGACAACCTATTTCGGTGACATGTGGTCGCATGACGATGACGTGACACCTAGAGCGTTGACATCTGCCACAGAATTATCAATAAACAGACCCTCGCCAGCCCCCCAGAGTGCCACCAGGAGGTGCTGCAATCAGCCCCCAGAGGGCCATCATAAGGTGCTGCAATCAGATCGCTACATCTGGTAAGGGATGTCAAGCACAGCATCCATCAACCATTTGTTGCTACATGTCGAGTTTGATTTGTTTTAACACAAATAATGATATTACCATATTATTTGTGCTGTATTAGGATCGCTGAACCCAGTTTCAAAACATCTGCATATAGAAATCGAAATCGAATCATTTTTGTTGTTGTTGGAATTGTAACTATCAAACAGTATCCGATAACTGATTAATGGTTAAAAAAATTAGAATTAATAGAATTGATCACAAATATTGAGTGAGAATTTTGGAACAAGGGAGCTGCTAGAGTTTGTGACGCTCAGGGTAGTCCTTGATATTGACGCCCCTTATTAATGAAAACCAAAATATTGACACAATGCTTACATAATACCGTAATTCATACAGATGGCTTACATCAACGCTATATAAAGTATGAAAAGTTGACCGAATATTCCAACAGGGATTTCGAGCGGAGCTTTGACCTGGAGCTCAGACATAGAAAGACTCTTGAGAGCTCTTAGACATAATTTCTGGAGCTTGGCGTAGACTTACTTTACGGAATTTGGCATGGACTACTCTCTGGAGCTTGGCGTGGACATATTTTCTCGAACTTCTTTGATAACATAGCCTTATTATATTCTTTTTTTTTCAAGAAATTGCAACTGGGAAATTAAGTGAAGGGCATCCACCATCTCACCTGGACATCACTAGATTGAAGTCATAACATAACCTGGACATCACCAGATTGAAGACATAACCTCACCTGGACATCACTAGATTGAAGTCATAACATAACCTGGACATCACTAGATTGAAGACATAACCTTACCTGGACATCACTAGATTGAAGTCATAACCTTACCTGGACATCCCCCGATTTGACTGGTTGTCCGTTGTTTGCCCACCAGTTGTCTAGCTACATAATTGCCATAGTGAACTTTTAATAAAAAAACTAGATTTTTTCTCATTGGATGACTTTTTGTTGGTCCAAATTAATAAAAGGAGTTTCAACGTTTGAAAACGTTTCTTCAGGAACGCTTTACTGTTTAACAACCTTACTTTTCAACCACCTTACTGTTGACCTCACACATACAAACTTCGTGACATTTCACATAATTCTCATATGTGCTACCTAATTAAGACATAATGACATAAAGAGAACTTTCAATCGCTCGTTTTAAAATCAGTCAATTCCTCATTTTTGCAATCTTTCAACCCCTAATTTTAATATCGTTCAATCCATTATTTTGCAATCGTTGAATTTGTTTACAATCTTGTATGTAAAATATTTGAATTTATTTACAGTCGTTTATTTACATTATTCGAATGTTTCTACAAACAATACTGTACTTCATCAGCATTTACTTTTTTGTCATGCTTCATTTCTGTGTAATGTTCCAAATCCAATGATTACCGAACATATTATTCGCCACTACCTCTTTAAACCCCGCTGAGCTTCGAGTTAAACACGATTAAAAAAAAATTTAACATGTCTAGAAAATAAACGAAACGTGCCACAGAAAGAGTCTGAAGTGGGCCTAACATTGAATCCCAGAGAGTGACGTCAGAGGCCGATCTCTTTTTTTTTTCCCCTTCTTCCTACGTCACTGCTATGTTACCATAGTTTCGAAAATTCACTTTGTTTCGTTTTAAAGTTTTAAATGTATTTTTCAGTTGACTTTAAAAATACCTAAATTCCATACCATCTTGGGCACTTAGTTAATGTTTGTTTAGATCAGAGCTGCCCAACCGGTTTGACATGCTAGGCTAGGTGTGTCGTGGGTGAGTGGGAAAAAAGTCACGTGGAAAAAAGGCACAGGGAAAAAAGTAACGTAAAAAGTCACAGGGAAAAATGTCACGGAAAAAGTCATAAATTTTTCCAGGGAAAAAACCCAGACAAAATCAGCCGTCAGATATCATAAATAAATACTGAAAAGTTTGGGGAACAAATCAATTTGTATATCTTTCGGTCCGACCACTCTCCTTTGGTGACAATAATGAGTTTAGTAGGATTACATGTATGTGATTTTACAACAGCCGGGGAGCACCTTGGTCAAGATTGGGGAATATAAGACTTTTTAAATCCAACTTTCAAAAGACGCATTGACCATAATGAGCTCTCCCCTCTTATTACCGTTGACCACATTGACCCTTTCCCCCTTATTACCGTTGACCATATTGACCCCCTTATTACCGTTGACCACATTGACCCCTTCCCACTTATTACCGTTGACCACATTGACCCCCCTTATGACCGTTGACCGCATTGACCCCACCCCCTTATTACCGTTGACCACATTGACCCCTTCCCCCTTATTACCGCTGACCACATTGACCCCTTCCCCCTTATGATCGTTGACCACATTGACCCCACCCCCTTATTACCATTGAACACATTGACCCCTTCCCCCTTATTACCGTCGACCACATTGACCCCTTCCCCCTTATGACCGTTGACCACATTGACCCCACCCCCTTATTACCGTTGACCACATTGACCCCTCCCCCCTTATTACCGTTGACCACATTGACCCCTCCCCCCTTATTACCGTTGACCACAATGAGACTCGAAGGACCAGTCGCTAACTACCATTTCTTGGTATTCAGTCTGTAATATTCGTGTTTATTGGCTTCATGCATAACAATGGAAACAATTTTGAATAAACACTGAAACTTAGGAGTTTATTTGGAAAAAATTTTTATTTTAAAAACTTTTTTTTTGTGTGACTTTTTGTCTGTGGCTTTTTTCCCTCTGACTTTTTCTTGTGACTTTGTGGCATCTAACGTATCCACAGTAATATCTAACATTGTCACTACAACATCTAACATTGCAACAACAACATCTAACATTGCTGCAGAAGCAATTTGACCCATACATTTTCATACAGCCTATACAGAGTAATGCAACGGGATCGGAAACTATTTTGTTTCTTACGTCTAAAAGTCTGCAGAAGAACTCTCCCGACGAGTTCAAGAGCATTTTCTGGAATTGGAGTATGGGGAGACACTTAAATTTAAGTTAACGAAGTTCCATTGGATGTATTCTGGGTTTTGGTTAAGGATGAATATCCTAGATTTTCTAACGAGGCTATTGTAATTCTGATACAATTTCTAACGAGGTTATTGTAATTCTGATAAAATTTCTAATGAGGCTAGTGTAGTTCTGATACAATTTCTAATGAGGTTATTGTAGTTCTGATAAAATTTCTAATGAGGCTAGTGTAGTTCTGATACAATTTCTAATGAGGCTAGTGTAGTTCTGATACAATTTCTAACGAGGTTATTGTAGTTCTGATAAAATTTCTAATGAGGCTAGTGTAGTTCTGACACAACTTCTAATGAGGCTATCAATTATTTCAAGTGTTTGTTCTAGTTTCAAGAGATTTATTTTATGCTGTGTCACTATTCAGTTAATAAACTTGTGTGTGATGCGACTTCATAAAGTTCTCGCCTCGTGATTTTAAATATCCTGGATGATTGTGAATGTGGATAATTAAGGCAAATACTACAACATAAAAATACTTCAACCTTACAAGTCACAAACACTGTTACACATTTGTTGTATGACTTTCCTTCTCAAGATCAGATCAGAAATATCGTGTGTTCTGTCGTGTCAGTTAATATTCTGGACCTTTTTTTTCTGGACCAAATTTTAAATTTTTTAAAGATACTTCGAGAATCAGTCGAACACAATACCGGTACACCGTTCAGGTGCGTGCTACGGCGTGAACAAAATGGTGTACATTAGATATGTTATGATAGTCATCTCTATAACACAATAGTGCTTTACATCACAGCAACTTGGATTAAATAAACTACCGGTACTTCATAACGTTATGATACGTTTTTTAAAAAAAAATCCTTTGTTGTAAATTATTTCAATGGTCGACAATTAGCCAATGAATTGACAATTTTGTTGAACATACAGAAATGAGGACATTTACTTGACACACTTTCTTACATAATAATTACGTATTTTACGTTTTTTTTAACATTCAGCAGGTAACGTAGTGACAGTTTAACGTATTTTAAGATGTTCTACTGGAATCTGATGCGCAATTTTAAAAAAAAATATTTAGTACAGGTAGTTAATTTTTTATTATGGTACGCTTTTTCTTAGACTTCGAATGCAAGGATTTGTTTGTTGGTGAGTGTTTGATGCTGAGAGTATTTGTGTAGCTTTATGGTTTGTATTTTGTGACGTATTTCGCTATGGGAAATGATTTTGTTAGGTTTTTTTTATGGTTATGGCAGCAGTGATGGAGTGTTGCTAATGGAGTGTTGCTAATGGAGTGTTGCTAATGGAGTGTTGCTAATGGAGTGTTGCTAATGGAGTGTTGCTAATGGAGTGTTGGTAATGGGGTTGTAAAGTGAGAATGGGATGAAAGAAGACACCGTTTATCTAACAAAACGCGTTTGTTATACATTCACTGGTTTCTTTAAATAATTAAATCACTGTTAATTCCAGTTCATAACACCATACTTGTGTAGGGTTTCCAAGAAAAGTTAGCAAAAATAAGTCAGCAAAGAAAAGTCAACAAATTTGAGTTACATAAATGATCCTTTTATTAATAGATTTCTAGCCGAAGAGATTAGAGAGCAATGAGCCTTGTGAAACTTTAGTTGAAGTGCCACTTAACAAGCCGCTAGTACTTCCACCAGTAAGTCCACTAAGCAAGCCACCAGTGCCACCAGCAATGCCTCCAGTAAGTCCACTAAGCAAGCCACCAGTGGCCCCACCAGTGCCCCCACC